AAGCCTTAGAATTCCCAAGTGATAAGGCCTCTTGCTCTTTGTTCCATTCCTCTTCTGGAATTAACACAAATACTCCATCTTTGTCAGTCTTCACTAGATGTTCTCATCCTGAGTTTGCTGCTCTCCATGCCTTGCTGTCTAAAAACTTTAAGAAGGAAATCATCCTAGGTTTCCAGTAGTCATAATTAGAGTCATCCATAATTGGTGGTCTATTTGTGAATCCTATATCTTTATCCACAGTACCAGAATTTATCTTCCCTAGATCTCACCCAGAAAATAACAGGCAGGGTGCCTGCTCTGATGCAAATTGAAATTCTGGCAGTCACATAGTGGATGCTATCACAAATGTTATGACATCCACTGTAACACAGACTATTGAACTTAATAGCAAGCAGTAAAATGGAAAGCAGTAAATAACACAAGTAATTGTTCACCCAATTTAGTGTCAACCACACTTACATTTGGGGGCTACCAAGCCAGGGAGTAAATTCACTATTAGTAGAATTAATTCAGAGTCAAACAACCAGTTTGCACTCTTCACTTAAGACCTACCCAATGACACTTCAGCCTAGAAACCACTAGACCTGAGTTACCCACTCACTCCCCCTCAATCACCACAGTGATATAAACCAATACTCAATTACAGGTGGAAATATGAAGACACACTTCAAACACACCTTGATCTTGCTTCACAGCTTTGATCAAGAGACACGTCACTCTTGCTTAAAAGCTTTGAGTGACACAATGAACACAACAGTTAATACATACTAAACTAATGCAATTATACAGCAGACAATTGCTTGGCACATAAGGAATCCTAAGACTCCTAAACACACGTGAAGAGTCAAACTCTTCACTCACAAAACACACGTGAAGAACAAACCTCTTCACTCACAAGGCACACTCTCTAATCTCTCTCAAGAAGCTCTACTCTATTAGGAATGATCCTTCTATTATTTATAGCAGCAGACTTGCTTTGAGCCTTGATGGAGAAATTAGGTTTACCCAAGATAAACCTCTCTTCATGAAGCTGCGCCTTTCCATTTAGGTCAGGGGTCTTCTATGTTATCTTCAGCCATGCCTGACATGTCGCCTGAGATAACTAGGCTTCCTAGAATGTTTCCTGAAGTATAGCCCGAGCTAATAACAGAAAAACTAACAATGCGCTCCCTGGTGTCATACGCTTGATGTCATAACATCCAGCATGACATTCAGCTTCACTTACTCTTAGCTCTCCCTGCATAACACTATTCATGTATGTCATAACATCAGTTATGACATTCATACATACTCCAATATTTTGCCACAACTAAGGGACTTAGGCCCTGCAATACACTTGTAAAGAAAAATGACATTGTTGTTGAGTATATTGGTACTGATTTCATGCTAGTTGATCCCCTAACTAAGGAACTTAGGCCCATTGTGTTCAAAAGCCATTTTGAGAGCATGGGCATTGTGAGTTCTTTTGATGTACTTGGTTAGTGGGAGTTTGTTCTTTATGTCATTTTTTTTATCATGTTATATTTTATTTTGGACACTTTAAATGTTGGATTGTCAAGTACTTCCTATTTTAAGCAATTGATATTACAATTATTATTATTATTATTATTATTATTATTATTATTATTATTATTATTATTATTATTATTATTATTATTATTATTATTATTATTATTATTTGTCATTGTTTATTTACATGTAAATTGTTAAATTTGGAACTCAGTGTCATCGAAACCGTTGTGCCTATGGTCAACACTAGTTTGGAGTTCAAGGCATGGTTATTATTTTGAGCTCGGTGTCTTCGGGACCACTATATCGGTGGTTGATGCCACATTGGAGCTTAAATATGATTTTAAGCTCGGCGTTGTCAGGACCACTATGCCGGTGGTCGACGCCATATTGAAGCTAAGGCATTATGGTTTGTAAAACCATACAATTTCTTTGTCTTTAATGCATTTGAGAGAAATTGTTAAGGACTGACAAAGAAAATAGCAGATGATTGTTGGATCACATTAGCATGTTATTTTCTTGTCACACTCCACACTAATGACTAGTTGACGAAGTATGTAGTATTTGTAACCACATAAGGTTTTGTGTCAATGAAGGACATAATAATCATCGTGATTCAATACTGCTTAACTTTTGTTGGATGGAGTCATATTCAGATACTGCACCTGGAATCATGGATTTCCTTAAAATGCAAATTAGTCATTAACCCGAAAGTTGTTTTAAAATGTATTTTAAAATAAAAATCATACAATTGATTTTGCCCAAGTGGGAGAATGTTAGATTTATCTAACTTTTTATGGGTTACAATCAATTGTGGTTTAGTTTGTGAAAAACAGGTTAATCGTGATTCTGATGGAGGTGCATATATAAGTCATTTCATTAATTAAGTGATCAATTTTAACTAATGGCTGAGTATCTGAAACCTGATTGACGTGGGTAAAAGTGTGTGCTTTAACCTTGGACTCATAATGTGTAGGGACTAGGGTTATATATATTATATGGCTAGATCTACTCTGGAATCACAAAAAAAATCAGAAACATAACTGACGGCTCCACAACTTGCCCCACTTGCCCTATTAAGAGTTGTGAGCGGGAGTGTGAGATTCCGAATCATGACTTCAACAAGTAAATATTGATATTCTGATTTTATATAATTGATAGATAAATTTTTCTGATTACATGTATTTGTGCAAATGCTGGTCCACAGCACCAGCAAAAATCAGAGACTTTGCCACATTACAAGACTCGTCCGAAGCAATAACATAACGAGGCAGCAAATTAAAAATAACATTGATAGACGTAAGGTGAGCCTTGTAGAATATCAAGATGTCATCAGCATACAACGTTAGAATTATTTGAACCTGTTGATACTAATTATAGTTTTATTTTTTTAATAGTTACATTTATAAAGTTTTAGAAAAAAATTAAGTGACCTCATTAGGCGGTAGCCTTAGTTAGAAAAATTTGGTTCAAAACCAATTTTGATGTCACAGTCGGAAGACTAAAACATGCACTACGGCAAGAATGAGAATTACCGATTTTGCGTGAGAAAGTTGAAATGATTCTGACGCGAAGGCCATCACACGCTTTGTATGAAAAGCAAAAACAAGTCCGTGTTCAATTATTCTTGGAGTATAAAACACGTAGCAGTACCACATGTTCTCAGAATAATTTCAGCCTTTAACTTTAGATATTTTATTCATTACTTTAATAGATTCACTGCGAAACTTTTATTATTTCAAGGTTAATTGATTATATATCTATTTTTTTAATTATACAACGATTCTATATTATTTTTTATGTTTCATAAATAATGTGTCGTTTAAAAATAAACATATTATTAATTTTAAATGCAAAAATAATATAAAAAAAGAATAAAACAATTTGAATAAAATAGAAGAATTAGTTTTATAAATAAGTTACAATAAAAGACTACAATTATAATTAATTTTGTTATCATCAAAATTAATTAAAATAACTATTTTTTAACAATAATTACTGTATTAATAAAATCTATTATTTATTTAAGAACTACATCAGGATCTGTTTAGGGTAAGATTTCTAAAAAGTAAAAAAATACCACTTTAAAACTAAAATCAATAAAATCTTATCTAGAATTAATATTATCTAAACAAACAAACAGTTGACTTTATTATCATAAGAGTAATTAATAATAAACAAAATCGATGACTTTAATATGATAAATAATATTATAATCTAAAATGTATGAAAAATTATACTGATATCTAAATTTAATACAGTTAATAAAATTTTGTTTAAAAGGAGCAAGTGCGTATATATTATTTAGTTTTTGAAAATATATTTTTAAAATTTTTTAAAAATATATTAATTTATAAAATTAAAGAAGGATTTAAAAACGAATGAAATATATAGATTTAAATGTATTCGAAGATATATTTCTAAAACAAATTTTCAACCATAAAAATTATTTTTAGAATTTCTCATATGCATTAGAAAGATAATGAATGCTTAAAAAATTCTTCAATATTTATTTATTCTATCAAATAAACAAAAGAGCATTGAAGAAAGGTTATTCTTACACTAATATATATATATATATATATATATATATATATATATATATATATATATATATATATATATATATATATATATATATATATATATATATATATATATATATATATATATATATATATTATGTCGTATTTTACTGTTCACCAATACGGTGAACAGTAATATATTATAATAATAAAATATTTTTTATAAAAAATATATAAAAATTAATTATTTTTTTATATCCGAATATTTATTGAGCATTTATTAATCAAGTTTATAATTTTATTAACCAATTTTTTATATTTTATTAATTAATTTTATTTTATTATTAAAAATTATTTTTATATTTGGACATTTATTATCCAACTTCATCATTTTATTAATCAATTTTTTATATTTCACGCATGTACATATATATTGTTCACATAATATTATTTATGCACTGTTTACAGAACTGTTTATGTACGGTTTTAGTGTATACCTTATAATATGTACGGTATAAGTGTAAGTACAGGTGTAGTAATAGCAAGCATAATTTGAAAAAGACAGAGTAAGTACATAGTAATAAAAAAAAATGATGATTATCATTTATAAATACTACAAAATGATGAGTACATCTATAACTTAAAAAGAAACAATTGACAATTTCTTTTCGACCAAGAAAATAATTGTCAAAACTTAGAATATCTGAATAAAGAAACTAAACAAGCGTGTTTGTTTACGACAGAATTCAATGGTTAACTATGCAAGAACTACTCCCAACAAAATCAACAATAATTTGAATCTACGATTATAAACTTGAAACTTGAAAGGGTAATTATTATTTATAGAAAGTAGAAGCAAGAACAAAATTAGCAATAAAGAGAGATTCAACAACGCCATAACCATCCTAAGGGCGCAGATCTGTTAGTAGTAATAAATTCATAAAACGAAAATGCCTATTACTAATTTCAATTTCCACTAGGACGGTTATTGCTCATCATCTTCTTGAATTCCTCAAAGTTAACGTTACCGTCACCGTCAGAATCAACGGATTTGATCATAGTGTGGCATTCATCAACGGAGCACTTCATTCCAAGAGTATTCAACACCTGACAGAGTTCCGTTGCGGAGATGAGGCCGTTCTTATCCTTATCGTACAGATCGAACGCGTCGCGAAGCTCAGATGCGTCGCATTCGGCTGAGCCGGATCGGCAGAAGGTGGCGAACTCATCGAGGTTGATGAAACCGTCGCGATCGGTGTCGAGATCGTCCATGACGCGCTGGAGCTCGTCGGCAGGGACAGTGGATCCGAGAGAGCGGAGGATGCTGTCTAACTCGGTGACGGAGATCTTGCCGTCGCCGTTGGTGTCGAAGCGGGTGAAGACTCGCTTGAGTTCATCCATGTCGTCGACTTTGACGCTTGGATTCGTTGCCATTGTTAGCGTTTGGGGAAGGTAGGTTCTAACGGTGAGTTTGGAAAGAGGAATAACGGAAAATGAGAAGCGTATATGGGGATGAAATAAACGGTGGTGTTGGGACTATAAATACTTGTTTGGTTTGGAATAATATACGCGTGGGGGTTGAAGATTGGCCCTACATTTTTTTTCAATATCAAGCTTTTCCGTTGATTTAAAATATTAATATAAATAAATGAGATACTATAAATGTCATGTCATTTTGTACATGCTTCGACTTTTAATTGACCAAGTGGTCATCCATCTCGTAGGTTTAATAATTTGGGCATCATCAAATAACACATCCTTTCCTTCCATTCCATAAAAGTTTAATGAACCATATATAGCACTCTCAAAATAGATTCAGTCCATCCGACCGACTCATGAGCTCTATATTTTATCATGGATTTGGCCGCAAAAATCTTTAAACATCACGCAGAAATTTAAAAAAGTTATCGGTCTTCAGAGATACATTTCTAAACATATTAAATACATACATTTCATTAGTATTTGAGTTATACAATAATTTTATAATTAAATTTAGACAAAATATTTATTTTCATCACTTAATTTTAACTCGAGGTCCAGTTTTGTTCCGTAACTTTGAAAAATGGTAAGTTGTTTCCTTAACTTTTAAAATGGTCTCACCTGAGTCCTCACTGTTGTTAAATATAATTCATTGTGTAAACAAATTTGATTTGATATGATTTGATATCATATGATTAATTTGGTATGATATGATTAGATATCATATGATTAGATTTGATTTAGAATATTTTGGGCCTTTTATGTTTTGGGTTAGTGTAAACCTAAAACTATAAATATGGCGTCTTGCTTTGTATTCTACATCACAACAGAACAGATTTCACAGTTGCAGTTAGCAAGTGAAAGTTCAATAAGAAATCTCACAGTTGTGGGTAACACATTCTCTCCAAATACTTCTTCTTTTTCTTGTTTGTTATTCTTCTTCTCTTTTGTTGTTCTTGATAATTACTTGTTATTACCATCATTATCATATTGTGGGTTTGTTCATCAATCTTGAGATCAAGATTGAAGGGAATTCTTCATAGGGTGTGAGGTGAATTTCCAACATCTGGTATCAGAGCCTGGTTGAAAGATTCAAGGAAGGAAGATAGTGATGGCGATGAATTATCCGAACGGTAACTTTCCGGCGACCCTGCCAATTCTCAAGAAAGACAATTATGAGAATTGGTGCAAGCAGATTAATGTGATCTTCTGTTATCAAGATCTTTGGGATCTTGTGAAAAATGGAGTAACACCGCTTGGGGAGAACGCAACGGAGGCGGAAAAGGCTGCGCATAAAGAATTGAAGAAGAAGGATTATAAAGCACTTTTTATAATTCATCAGTGTGTCGATCCTGATAACTTTGAAAAGGTTAGTGATGTTGATTCAGCAAAAGAAGCATGGGAGATTCTTGAAAAGTCGTTTGGAGGCGCAGAGAAGGTGAAAGAGGTGAGGTTACAAACTCATAAGAGAACCTATGAGTTGCTTCAGATGGAAGACAATGAAAGCATTACAGATTTCTTCACCAGAGTTACAAGGTTGGTGAATCAAATCAAAGTATGTGGAGAAACACTGACGACGAAAGTTGTTGTCTCAAAGATTTTGAGATCGTTGGCTCCAAAATTCGACCACGTGGTAGTTGCCATAGAAGAGTCGAAAGATCTGTCAGTGTTGACGAAGGAAGAGCTTCAAGGGACTCTTGAGTCTCATGAACAGAGGATGGCTGAGAGAGCTGCATGAAAGTCGAAAGATATGGCTTTGCAGGCACAGACGGAAAAGGAGAGAAAAGACAAAGGTAGCTGGAATGGCAACAAAGGAGGAAACCAGTCGAATCAAAAGAAACCTTGGAACCAAGGCAACCAAAGAGGTGGTGCTGCAGATAAAGGAAGAGGTGGTGATCGAAAGACAGACAAAAGCCACATTCAATGTTTCAATTGTCAGAAGTATGGTCATTATGTTAGTGGTTGTCCAGAAAAGAAGAGAAATCAAGAGACTGATGCAAAGCTGGCGAAACACGAAGAAGAAGAAACGTTGCTAATGGTCCCAACAAACGATGAAGAAAGATTCCAAGATCAGTGGTACTTGGATTCAGGATGCTCATCACACATGACTGGAAGGAAAGATTGGTTTGTCAACATGAAGCCCTCGTCGAAGAATACGGTGAAGTTTGCAAATGACAACACTCTAGCAGCTGAAGGTGTTGGTGATGTTCTGATTATGAGGAAAGATGGCAAAAGGTCAACAATTTCCAATGTGTTGTACATACCAGGCATGAAGAGTAATTTGCTCAGTATAGGGCAGCTTGTCGAAAAGAACTACAAGGTAGTTGTCGAAGACAAGATGATGAGAGTTCTCAACGCAGGTGGTAGATTAATCTTGAAGGCTCCAATGTCTCAGAATAAGACCTTCAAGATTGGACTCAATGTGATGGAGCATAAGTGTCTAGCAACTGCAGCCAGCAGAGATGAGTGGTTATGGCATTTTCGACTAGGTCATCTCAACTTTAATGACATCATAGAACTGAAGAAAAGAAATATGGTTTCAGGATTACGAGAAATCGACATTCCAAGTGAAGTCTGTGAGGAGTGTGTTCAGTCGAAACAACACAAGAATAGCTTCAGTAAGGATGCAGGAAGGAAGTCGAAGGCAATACTTAAAGTCATATACTCTGATGTATGTGGTCCAATCCAGGTGGATTCGATTGGTGGCAATATATACTTTGTCACATTTATAGATGATTACAGTCGAAAGCTGTGGACTTACCTCATCAAGAAGAAAAGTGATGTGATTGAGGTATTTTCCAGATTCAAGTCCATGGCCGAAAGACAGAGTGGTCGAAACCTGAAAATTCTGAGGACTGATGGTGGTGGAGAGTATGTGTCGAAAGAGTTCGATACACTATGTGTAAAAGAAGGGATTGTACATGAGGTGGTGCCACCCTACACTCCACAGCAAAATGGGATTGCAGAACACAAGAACAGAACCATCATAAATATGGTGAGAAGTATGTTGAATGGAAAGCATCTACCCAAAGAATTATGGGGAGAAGCAGTTTCGACATCAACATATATATTGAACAGATGTCCGACGAAGAAGCTTGAAGGAATCACACCAGAAGAATGTTGGTCTGGTGTCAAGCCTAGTCTCAGTCACTTAAAGGTGTTTGGATCTATAGCACATAGACATGTGCCAGATCAGTTGAGAAGGAAGCTTGATGATAAGTCGAATCAGATGATCTTGATAGGATATCATTCGGCAGGAGGTTACAAGCTGTTCGACCCAGTAAATAAGCAAGTAGTGATCAGCAGGGACGTGATCATAGATGAGCTTAAAGAATGGGATTGGACCGAGAATGCCAAGAAGGATTCAGTGAGAATATCTTGTGAAGAACCAGCCACTGAAGTCGAAATAGAAGTTCGACAGGAACCAGTTGCAGATGAAGCAGGTTCAAGCAGACCTCGACGAACAAGACACATGCCTGCAAGGTTGCAAGAATGTGTAATCACATCAGATGATGTAGTCGATGAAGAGGGTGAGCTGGTATGTTATGCTTTCTACACAGATGTCGAACCAGTCAATGCAGCTGAGGCATTGAAAGATTCGAAGTGGGTGAAAGCAATGATTGAAGAGTTAGAGTCCATCGAAGTCAATGATACCTGGTCACTTGTCGAATTTCCGCAAGGCAAGAAGGCAATTGATGTGAGGTGGGTTTACAAGGTAAAGGTAAATCCTAAAGGAGAAGTAACTCGACACAAAGCGAGACTTGTGGCGAAAAGATTTCTTCAGAAGGAAGGAATCGACTTCGATGAAGTATTCGCACCTGTTGCTAGAATCGAAACAATCAGGTTGGTTGTTGGTCTAGCAAATATGAACAACTGGCACACATGTCAGATGGACGTGATGTGGGCCATGATGAATGTAGACAGTTTAGACACAATGAATTAGGTGGTGTGTTAAATATAATTCATTGTGTAAACAGATTTGATTTGATATGATTTGATATCATATGATTAATTTGATATGATATGATTAGATATCATATGATTAGATTTGATTTAGAATATTTTGGGCCTTTTATGTTTTGGGCTAGTGTAAAACTAAAACTATAAATAGGGTGCCTTGCTTTGTATTCTACATCACAATAGAACAGATTTCACAGTTGCAGTTAGCAAGTGAAAGTTCAATAAGAAATCCCACAGTTGTGGGTAACACATTCTCTCCAAATACTTCTTCTCTCATTCTTCTCTTTCTTGTTTGTTATTCTTTTTCTCTTTTGTTGTTCTTGATAATTACTTGTTATTACCATCATTATCATATTGTGGGTTTGTTCATCAATCTTGAGATCAAGATTGAAGGGAATTCTTCGTAGGGTGTGAGGTGAATTTCCAACAACTGTTAGTTGTCCTCAAACGTTTGTTCATTGTGAATACGTGGCAGATGACTTAGCAAGTTTACTTCATCATCTTGTTTCGTTCTTCTTCCCAACCTGCTTAGAAATCTTGTTTCGTTCTTCTTCTTCCTAATCCCATATCCCAAAATCAAACCTAAGGTTTTTGGCAAGCATGAAATCTGGTTGTTCATCCTCGATGTTGAAACAGAAAAGTGGAGATTCGAATGTTTGTAGTAGGTCACGATGAAAACTTATTTGTCATTGTGGCGATATAGTTGTTCTTCAAATGACAACTACGATTAAGAATATGAGAAAACTTTTATGGGGTTGTCCAAATTATAAGGTATGTAGGTTTTTTATTTTGTTAATAAGTTCTGTTTAAGTTTCATTTTGTAGGTAGCCTTGACCTCTAAACAATGAAAACTTTATGGAGATATGCAAGTTGGGTGTGGTTTTTTTAGTTGGTTTTATGAGGAGGTGGATGATGAGAAGGAGCAATTTTGGATACTTAGGCTGGGTGTGGTTACTAAGAGACTCGCTGAAGTAAAAAAGGACACTGAAAAAGTG